AGTGAAAACTGTACACCCTCATCCTAGAAAATGTACACACGAACATACAATCCTTGTTTAGAACATGTCTTCAGTACTAGAATAGAACTTGAAAATATTAAATTTCTTTTGCTTTGTCACTAAAGCAACTGTAAACTTTCTACAGCACTGTGTATACATATACACATATGTATGTATATTTATATATGTATAAAATAAGCAGCTTGTATGTGACTCTAATGCTATTGATTTCATCACCTTTTTGGCACTTTTAAAGCACAGCCAAAAATGATTTGGAAAATTATTCTAGAATTCCAAGTTGGTTCCCTCTGCCTCGTAGATGCCTAAGGACTGCTTAGTTCTCTGGAGCCACCAGGTCATATTCCTGTAGAGCTGTTCCAAGCCAACTGGGATTCTAGGGAAATGGGACTGCCTGGCCAGGGGCCTCACAGGGGCCTAAATAACCAATTTGTTTTAACCCACAGCCACCTCTCTCAACTGCACGGTCCAAGGGAACCCTAACCTATCTTCCCATTTTTTAGCACCAGTCATTAGAGAGGCACCTAACAACAGGAAACCTTTGCAATTAGCACAAACAAGCAAAAACATTCCACGGCAGCATTTCCCTAAGTATTTGTCTCAGAATACAAATCCCAGAAGATACCTACTTTAAAAAAACAAAATAAAAAATACAACAAAAACAAAACAAAAAAACCATATACAATAAATCAGGGAAATAGTGTATACAATACAGTCCCTTCTCAGAGACTGAAACCACACAAAGGTTCAGAAAAGCCTAGAGTAACTAAACGTTGTCTAACCAAGCATTCCCCAAGCTTATTTGGCCACAGAACCCTCTATTCACATAATAATATAAGCTGCCAAAACACACCTTCTTCTCCAAGGAACTAAAAGATGGTTTAAAAAAAAAATCTGACAGTATAATTTCAAATTAATAATAATCAGGATACAAAAAGACTTGTTCTCCTGTAATTTTTTTTTTTTAAGGAATCTACTTTGTTTTGCTAGAATATGCTTCTATCACAACACTCCCCTCTCTACAAATGTCCAGCTCGAAGTTACTCTTCCTTATATCATTATTCAAGAATGTTAACTCTCATCAGTAACCACTGGCCTCTCATCTGGAACAAATAATTTCTGTATGCTTTTTGATTCTGAGAATACCTCTCCACCTCAATCACAGTGGTTTTAACTTGAGGGCTGGTAACCTGGGCTCCTAGCCAATATAACCTCCCAACAGGATTTTGGGCTCTTCCTAGCAAACACTAACTACATCCCAACAGGGGCTAAAATATTTTGCAAGCCCTTAAAAAAACCCAAAACCTCATCTTTACTCTCTGCGAAAATGTGCATTCTGAAGATCTAATGACACTTCTGTTAAACCTTTGAGGGTAACAGGATTATAAACCTTTAGTTCATGTAATTAACAACAAATTTCTTAATAATCTATTTAAAAACTACAAAAACATTGAAAAGCAAATGTAAATTCCACAAAGCTGAACAAGAAAGAAAGGCAAGAGATAATTCTTAATGCCAACAACATATACAAAAGACCATAACCAAAATTATAGGGCAGCCCTGGTGGCGCAGCGGTTTAGCGCCGCCTGCAGCCTAGGGTGTGATCCTGGAGACCTGGGATCGAGTCCCACATCGGGCTTCCTATATGGAGCCTGCTTCTCCCACTGCCTGTGTCTCTGCCCCTCCTTCTCTGTCTCTATGAATAAATAAAATCTTAAAAAAAAAATCTTAAAAAAAATAACCCAAATTATACTTAGTGGCTCTGCTCAGGATTTCAATTATATAAATAACCAAACCAAGACAAAGTCAATTACTAAATCCCTATGAGCTTAGAACAAAAAACACATGCTGCACTTTCTTCTTTAACACATAATCCTAGTGTATATCTCGTCACATTGTGTAATTAGAGCACAGCGAAGTGAAGAACTACCACCACATGAAGACACAGAAGAATTTTTTTCAACATATTTTATCCTAAAAAGTAAACCCAGGTACCATAGGAAGAAGATTCTATTACAAATACAAAATCATATAATATTTTACCAGAAAAAGTTTTAGGTTGTTGTTTTTTCTTTTCTGATAAGGCAACACAGATCTTTAGATAATCATTCGTTACAAACCTGAGGTGTTTCTTTCTTTAAACTTAAGAGGGAAATAAATTATATTTAATTTATATTATGTTTTTGTCTGGAACTGAATACTAATTACTATGTTTGCACTATTAAACATATAGTTTAAAACCGTTTTATTTTGAAATAATTATAGACTCACAAGAAGTTGCAAAAATAGTACACAGACTATGTATCCATCCCTCAGCTTCTTGTCTTTAAGTATTTATGTTTTGGTTTTAAAGGGTTAACATTTTTGATAGTTTATAGAAAACCCAAAAAATCTAATAGGTCTGGTGAATGTATATTCTTGGAAGAGGCCCCACGAAAACATACCGCTGACTTCAAATACCACTTTTATCACATGAAGGCACCTTAAAAAATTGCTTTTCTGAGATTCTATCACTGTTACCAATTTCTGTCTCTTTTGATGTCTAGTTTTTTTCCATTTTTGTACACTTCTGAAAGTTGTACCTTAGCTGTGATTGAAATAAGCTTCCTTATTCCTTCATGTTAATATATCTAGCAATGTTAAATGAATAGGAATTACAAATGGGAATCGAGATGCTTTGGATTATTAAAATCTTGAATTCTCTAGTGCCCCCCCCGCCAAATAATACAAACATACCTAAGTTGAAATTTCTCAGTGCTGACCTTTGCAGGGGGAAAAAAAAAATACTGTGAAGGGATGACTATCCTCGGTGCTCTTTAGTGTCTTCAGTAAATAAAAAAAAAAAAGAGGCCAGCCTTATGCATAAGTGATGGTAGTCTGTTGATGGAGGATCTTTACCTTATGGGAATTATCTGATTGATTTTCTAATCCTATACTACCAACAAATATAAACACAAATATAGTCCCTTTGGTCATATTCCACCATCACGTCCTAAAGACAGTAGCTCCCAGGATTTTTGTTTAACACTGTGGACCATTTATCTCAGCAAACTCACACTTATCCAAAGCATATCCTCATAGACTGATCACAAGCTCTCTGCCCAATCTGGAAAGTTGTTCCTTTCTAAAAGCTTCCTATACTACCTATATGTATGGCTGATCCCTGGAGTGGTTTATGCTCAGTTATAGCTTCCTGGTATCTTGTTGGCTTATCCAAAAATGCTCAACTAAGTAGCCCAACATATAAATTCTCACTTATCTAAATCATATTTTGCATCTTAAGAAAGGTAGTCTGGAAACATCCTAGCCTATGTAGTGCAAGGCTAGAGGCAATTCAAAGCAGGAATGACCAAAAGAAAATAAATCATAGTTACAGTTGTCTTTTCTACTAAAAAATGACAAATACTTGTTATTCTAAAATGCTATCTTTTGATTAAACTTTCAACACGTGAAACATTACAGTATGCTTATTGGCTGAATGCTGTGTCATAAGAACACAATCTCCACATTCTTATAGAACTTTAAACACATTTTTTTTAGCATGGATATTAGTAGTTTCATTGACAGAAAACTTTACATAAGCTAGTATTTGTGCCCATGGAGAACCTTGGGAGTTAAACTTACTGTTTGATTTTAGAATCTGTTAGGGTTGGTATAGTTCTTTCTCCCTATTTTTAATTTTTCCCAAGCTAATTTTAATTATCCTGTTTTATGACTGTGACAATTTTAAGCCACTTCAAGTGCTTCCTGGAAGGCTTACTATAAATCATAATTGAAAATGACCAATCCTAACTAAAGCATAAACAGATGCCTGATTAATGTGTTAACCACCCTTCTCCAATATATATCAATCTAGAGAACGATAAAGTTCTATGGTCATGATTTTCAATATGGAATATTCACAGGGATTTTGGATTGCTGGAATCTAGTAGAAAATTAATACAAAATATACAAACCCGTTGCAGAAGTAATGTGAAACTCATTAGCTACTTTCCCTAAATGCATCCAAACAGATGAACAAGATTTTGAAGACTACCTTGTTTCTCATTTAATAAAGACTTTCAAGAAGAAATCTTTACAATGACTTAAAGACTCCTGTATACACAGCTACCTAAATACAGAACAAATTGGGAGGATTTAGGTCAAACACAGCTGAGCTCCACTTAGCTCAAATTAGGTGAGTCTCTTGACTACAAAGCTGTTTTCTTAACATGGGGGTTTCTGCACGACATGGTAAGATTTGCTGAGCACCATAGTAATCTTTTGAGACACTAATCAAAAACATGATTCTATATTTAAAAAACCCCAGAAGTGGTTTCAGGACAACAGAAGCACCCCAGCCACTAAAATAAGTGAAATTCTGTTATAAGCAAAATCACCTGCATAGCAAATCCTTTAACAGTTCAGCAACAGAGAGAAAATATGCTTTAAAAACTACTGCTATTTCTGAATATTCCATTAGAGCCTTCAACTGTAGTTAAACTATATGGAAAAAGATAAGTTGCCATAAAAGCTTCTGACTACATGACAGGCTCCTCAGGAAAGAACCCTGGTCTGAACACTGGTCCAAGCATGGTGAACTCAGACCGAGCACACAGTAGGTAATTCCATTACTCTAACCAAGAAGTGACTGACAACTGGGCAAACTTCAGTAAGACTTCACAGCCTGGCGTAATAATGATGACCAACACACTCAATTCTCCTGAAATTAATCCAAGAAAGAGAGGACTAGAGTTAAAAATGGACTATAAATATATAGGTCTAAAGCTGCCATTGGTCCAATAAACTAAAGAGTCCCTGCTAACCTTATAACGAACACATGTGCAAATACAAATGTTACACAGAAGTGCATATAGTCAGATAAGTATTATATGTGACCACCTTTGAAATATATATATCTCAGATATATATATATATATATATATATATATACCATAGGATAGTACCATATATATATATATATATATATATATATATATATATGGTACTAATCACCCAAAAGATTACACTTCTGAGAGCATAATTAAAAAGCACATTCCCCATTGCTTTTTAAATACAGGCTTTTCTACTGAAGTAAACAGAATATGAGAATATTACATTTTTCCTAATGTCTAAAATAGGCATCAAATTTCTAAACAGAAGAAAAAAGCCTCAAACAGCCACATATTAGACATTCAAACTGTTCTATGAAAACTAAATAAATTAATTGGAATAAATAGGAGTGCACATTCAGAACAGAATCGTAGCTTTTGGTCAGCAGCGTGAACTAAAGGCAAAAATCTGCCAAGATTAAGGCAGGGTTTTTGTTTTTTTTTTTAAATGTACAGTACAGTATGTTTTCTTTTTTCCCCAAGTTCATTTAGTATTCACTTTGATGTTATCTAAAGTGCATTGCCAAGCTAAAATACAAGCTTCCTAATTAAGAGAAACTAGATGTCATAGAAAGTTTCTTTTTAGAGCCTTCTGTATACCTACTAGTGGTATTTTCTTTTTGCTCTCACACATGTAGTGTAAGATATTACAGCAACAATCAAGGACTGTGGACACAAAGCATGATGACTGTCACGGTGATAGTCGTTGTAAGGAATTACTTTCTTCTTCTGCTGGAGTCAATTTAAGTGTCGGCAGTTTCCGAGGAGGAAGCTGAGGGCTTTGGCGAAGATTGTCATCCATCTGTGGAAAGTACAAAAGGTAATCTGACTGATGGCTGTGGCACTGCTTATGTGGACTGTGGTCTCCCCATCCAAACTATAGCCTAGAAGAGTACAGAACCATAGGGTTCCAGGACTGCTTGAGAACCTTTTCCTTACAATCTCTCAGGAACTCAAGATGTGGTACCTCAAATACCACCTAACTCAATATATGTATAAAAGCAATACTGCTCTTCTTTGATGCCATCATAAATTATAACAACTCCATAAAATGAATATTCTATTGAACCCAACCATGTCATAACTTAAGAGGTCTTCCAATAATAAGTGAAAAAGCAATACTTCAGACACACTGAGCTTCCCAGTTTACAAATTATGTTCATATCCAATATCTCCCTTGATCTTCCCAACACAACTGTGAAGAAAAAAATGGAAGATATCATTCCCTACTTTACATATTAGCAAAACGAAGCTCAGAAAGGTTAAGAAATTTGCATTAGGTTGCAAAGCTAGTATCATGAATTGAAATTAGAGCCCAAGTCTTCTTATTCCAATACTATTGTTCTTTCAACTATACCTCAGTGTCTCAGTGAAAAAGACCTGTACTCCCCTCAAAAAAACCAGCTCTTTCAGGTTGCAAGTATTTAGACCATGGGAAGCCAGGAGAAGAGATATACTAAAGGATAAATTGGTTAGACCCAATCCAGAGATACTACAACAACCGCATCAGTTCTAAGTCTGCTCTAGAGAAACAAATTACTATAGAGCATATTGAGAAAATGTCCACGAGTTTCAGACTTGCCCTTAGCAGGACATCAGCATCCCTGGAAACACTAGGAGTGGGATTATTTAGAACTGAGTCAGACCTTAGAAAGCTACCTTTAAGCAGGGGCCCCAAAATAGAGTGAAAGTTCAAGGCCTAGCGTTGAGCTCATTATCAGCTCAACTTCAGAAGACTGGAAAGCAGCTTCCACCAAAGATCCCAAACCTGACAGCAGACAGCATCTGATTACCCACTTGATAAGCAGGCTTTTCTAGTGTTATGAGCATGTGCAGAGCAAAACTCTCCCTTATCTTCTCCAGATGCTCTTATAAAGCACAGAAGAAATGTCTCAGCAGAGGTACATGGAACTTACAGGAAAGCAAAGGGAATAAAAAATTAACTTAATTTTCCAATGGAAAAAAGGTATTCCCAGTGAACTACTTGAATAGTGTTGTCATGTTTTTTTTCTTGCAAGAACTAAGTTCCTCCAACATTACTCTTTTTTTAAGCTCTAGATCTTCTGTCCAAATGGTTAACTATAGTAGCCGATAGGACTTGTTGCTCTAACGTCTTATAGCTAACAACACTGAACCATACTGAAGAGCAGATATGAAACAGGGGTGGGAAGGAGCACCTGACAGAGTTAGGAAACTTTCATATATTGATGATGATATAAGAATGAAGTGTACAAAGTGGTGACAGGGCCTCTTAGGTTCCCTTTCTGCACCAGTAGGTATTTCCTGGCTCCCTTTACATGTCTGTCATGAATTTGCCACATGTAGAAAATGAAAATTCTATTGCATGGCCTTCATCTAGCAGTTAAGTGTCTAACACAATATGTATTATCTTCTACTACACACATTTAATACTCAATATAGGGGATCCCTGGGTGGCTCAGAGGTTTAGCACCCGCCTTCGGCCCGGGGCGTGATCCTGGAGACCCAGGATCAAGTCCCACCTTGGGCTCCCTGCATGGAGCCTGCTTCTCCCTCTGCCTGTGTCTCTGCCTCTCTCTCTCTCTCTGTGTGTGTGTGTCTCATGAATAAATAAAATCTAAAAAACAAAACCAAAAACAAAAAAACACAATATATTTCCTCTCGTGGGACTGACTGAGGTGGGCTAAAAAGACACACTTTGGGGCTCAGCCAGCCCACATCAACTTTAGTACTGGTCTTTTACAGTTTTATGCTCAGCCGTACTCACTTCTCACGTTCTAACGACACATGAAATACTATACAAGAAAGAGAATGGCCATTCCAGAGAGTGGCAAAGGTTTCCTGGCTAGTAGTGCTACTAGTACTGGATACAGAATCTCATATATTTCATTCATTTGCAGCTAACTGCAAAGCCTACGCTGGAATCCAATTTCCAGGGTTCAAATTCCCTCTCTGCTGCTAGCCAGCTGAATGACCTTGGGGAGGTGACATACACTACTCTCGAAGCTTTAGTATCCTCATCTGTAAAATAGGGCTGATAGAGTAGCTGCAGTATGTAGACCTGCTGTGAGGATTCAACGAGACAAATCATAAAGCTCATACAACACACTGCTGGTTACTCAGACCTCAGAAACTGCGAGCTAGTGTTATTAGGCCACTTTGCCTCATTGGTTAGTGAAAAAGTGAAGTATCATTCAAAGGTATAAGAAAAAAAAAAAACAAGTTTATCAGACACTTGGGGGAAAAATGTGTAACTCTCTTGTATTTTTCCAATTAGACTCACTTTTGAAATTTCCATTACTGGCCGTCTCCCCTACCCACTTCTTCAATATCCCTCTCTCTTACCAAATGAACAACCCTAAAGTGGCAAAATATCCACAATGATGAAAAACTGTAGGCAACATTTAGAGAAGGAACAGAAGGAGGAAAAAAATAAAAGTTTACGTAGAAGAAAGAAAAAGACACCACAAGTGCCATTAATAAGAAAGGACAAAAAAAAAAAAAAAGGACAAGCAAAGGTGCTTACGATCTCAAGAAACATTAACCTTCAGAGACAGAAACAGAAAAGCAAAGAGTGTTTTTTTGTTTTTTTTTTTTTTTTAGGCCAGGCTCTTGGGTCTCTTACTTCAAAAAATACTAATTATGTGGTAAAAGTAAACCCAATACCATTATCAAAGCAATCAGGCCTTGCCTGATCCCAGCCTGGGTGCCTCAGTTGGTTAAGCATCTGCCTTTGGCCCGGGTCATGATCCTGGAGTCCCTATATGGAGCCACGCATCAGGCTCCCTGCTCAGCGGGGAGTCTGCTTCTCCCTCTCCCTCTGCCCTTCCCACTGCTTCTCTCTCTCTCTCTCTCTCTCTCTCTCAAAATTAATAAATAAAATCTTTTAAAAAAGAGAAAGTAATCAGGCCACTACTGGCTTCAAAACACTATACTATGTACAACTGCAGTAAATGTATATTTGAGCAGATTTATGAAAAAATAAACTCAGACTAAGAGGGTAAAAAAAAAAAAACTAAGAGGGTAAAGTTAAAGCTATGATATTAATTTTAGAAAGGAAAATACTAAACTACTAGAAAAAAATGATTGAAATAAACTTGACCTTTTCAATCAAGTTGGATTCCTTATTTACAAGTTGTGTGAGTTTCTGCAGATTTGCGTCTACCATTTCTTGTCCAGCAGGAGAGATGCCTAAGAAGCCAGGACAGAAATCAGAGAGACAGAAAATTTTGAAAGTCTTTAAAGCTATTCAGACTGAAAGAACCCTCCCAAGTAGGCCGCCCTCCAAAAACAAATAAAATTAAGCAAAGAGAAAAACCATTCTGGGTTCAAAGGCAAAGTTAAGAGGGATAGTAATGCTCCAAAACCAAACCCTAAACAAAAGGATTAAATTTGTCTATTCAGTAGAAGTAGAAGCCAAGTGTTATGCAGCTAGCCAAAGTAATTAGTAAAAGAGCACGGCAGTTCTCATTTCCTTCTCGAATCTGAGTTGTACCTTTTCCCCACCCATACCAAATAGGCCTTTAGTCATAACTGATTGGGATAGCTTTCTAAGGCAGCGACTCCCAAACAGCTATCAACCAGGCACCCACAGTATTTGGAGGGACTCAAAAAATACATATTCCTGGGCTCTATCCCTATGAGATTCTAATTCAGTAAATCTGGCATAGGACCCAGGAGTCCATATTTGTCCTCTAGCCACGTTTGCTAATCACTACTCCAGAGTAACAAGGTTGGAAGTTAGTTTCATGACTCTCAAATTGCTAACCCCTACCTCTATATAAAACACATCACCCACAATGAAAAATAAACTGTCCCTAAGCCAGTTATCCTTGTGACTGTTTTTCTTAAAAGGACAATTTCTGCCAATTCTCCCAATACAAATTTTGTATCCCAATCACTTAAGCACAAGGCCCCACACTCCCAAGGAATCACGTCCTAAGTGACAGGTACCCTCTATTTACAATACCTCCAGTCTGATGCAATCAGTTTTCAAGTAGTGGAATCATGAGAGTGTACCTCACCCAAATCAGTCTGCTGATTTCTGTTCACGCAGGAAAATGCTAGAAGCAACATTTAAAATAACTGCCCATTTGCATTAGGATAAATGCTACCTTTCAACAGGTACTCAATAAATACCGATGGTTAACTTTAGAAGAAAATGATCCACTTCAAAGGGGCAATATTTAAAGAACAAGAGGCAAGAAATGTATAAAATCTTGAAGAACAGACAAAAGGTAAGTATCTATTTCTCTGTTTAACATGGAACTAACACACGGGAATAAATTGGAAAAACGCAACTTTTTCAAGTGCTATAATTCAACATTTAAAGACAATATACAAGCTTCTTCAATAAGTCATGAATTATGCTTATACATCCTGATGAGAATATGCAGATATTCTATGCAAACACAGATTAGCTGAAGAGAAGCCACCTTACCTCCAACACTAAGCCTAAAATAAGTGTTTAGGATGTCGTCACAAAAACGGCACAGGTTGGACAGCTGTTTCAAATGTTCTTGTAACTGAACTTTAGGAAAGCGTACTTTATAAAGAGGTGCAAGGAAACCAAACACATAGGCATCCAAGGTAGATGGCCTAAAAATAAATTAAGGATTTTCTTAAAACACAAAGAAAATATTAACTTAAAAATATTTTTTCTCATACATTTGGCAATTCTGGACTATATAATACAGCCTTTTAAAAGATTTACTACACGTTTTAGCTTATGAAAATGATGCAATGAGGGCTTTATTGATTAGTTTTTAAGATAACTAATTTATTTGAAGAAACGTTATAAATTAAAGATTCATTTTTACTCACAATTGTTACACAGAGGTAGGAAACAGGGTGGGAATAGCCTTAAGATATTTTAAATTCACATATATAGCATACTGAGTCACTACCTGATTAGCATGCACAGAAAAAGTTCACTATAGTAATCTATTAAATCTTTTAAGTAAAAAACTCATAAAGGGGGGTGGGGGACAAGAGGACTTACTTTAAATAACTGCTCATGGATTATATGCATACAAAAACATCAAAATGGTTTTTAAGGGCATGCACTCACGAATCTCCAAAGAAAAACTGAGATGTTCCCAATCTGTTTGATAGAAGATTTAGGCACTCCTTGGCATCTCTGTATATCTAATAAGGATGAAATGACAACTCAAAAGTAGGAAGGATACTCTAGAACTCCTGTTAGACAGGCATTTAGGTACGTTCATCTCTGTTGTCTCTCTTGTCCCTCCTCCGGAGGCCCCTTGCTTTGAAAGTAATCCCAACCATACCTGAGCTTCCACTTCTCGGAGGTGGTAGAGGGGAGGCTCTCCTCTGGTCAGGATAATTCTATTCAGTGCTCCCTTAGACATCCTTCCAGGCAGGATCAAACTCAAGGGAAAAGGAATTCGTGAAGCAAACCATGGCTTTGTCACAGTAAAGTAATTGTCACTCTCAACCCAGAATGTGTGAAGCTGCAAAGCAAACAAAACAACTACAAACCAAGAAACAAACAAACCCACCACCACTATAAGCATGTTCTTTTATTTCAAGAAGTCATCCAGTGTGAAAGTTTTTTCTAAAGTGGCTTCATACAACTTTCCCAATTAGAATGACTCAAGAACAAAACAAGATTTTAAACACATGGATTTGCTGATTGCTATATCCCAGGCACCCAGACAAGGCCTGGCACATATGCACTCAATAATTACTTGCTGAATGAATGAATGATAGTTATACACGGGAACAAACAACTCCATCCTCCAAAAATAATTTTTATTTCCAAAATGCATTCATTGTTTCATGTCTTAGTTGAATGACTAATAGAATCCAGTTTCACAGTAACAAAAACGAATCAAGGTTAATACATAAATGCAATTTCCGCTCTTGAACCTTTTTCATTACGTTGCTTCTATATAGAACTAGGTGTATTTTTAGTAGGTCACTACAATACCAATACTCACCACTGCAGGAAGAAGCTTCTCTTCGAGGAGAGCAATATAAGCCAGTGTATCTGCCCCCTGCTTTGCTGAGAGTTCATAATCAGCATTATATTTCTATTAAAAAATATAAAACCAAAAAACAAGATTCTTATTCTTCCTCAAAAACGGAAAAATGACATTAAAAGGCAGAACAATAAATACAAACTCAGTGACAAATGCTGCTTAATGCAAATACAGTTCTTAGCACAACTTCACACACAAAGGTCAGTAAGTATTACACTTTGGTTAACTGCTATAATTCAGTGATTATGACCTAGTTTAGTTTATTGCATGGCATAAAGTACAAAATTAATAAACACAAGCTATTATTTTTAACAATAAGCAAGAAGTTCTAGTTTGCGTTTCTTCCCATGGAAAAAGAAAAAAAAAAAACCTTCCAATTTAGAAAAATTCTAAAATTTGCTGACATAGGATTTATTTTTTTAAGAAAGTATTAACAAAACCCATAACTTTGGTATTTATAAAAGTCTTTACATGTTTAAATATTATGGATACATCATACAAATCTTTACATGCTCATGCAATTTAAATACATTACTTAATGAAATATCTGATTGCAACTCTCCCTTTGAGAGTTCTTTAAAAATAAAATAGCTGCTAGTTGGTGGAACTCAGATGGCATATGTAGCAGAAGGTGCACAGCAGCTTTGTGACTAAATTGACAATCACATCAATGAGTGAATAGTGAAGATGGCTTCATTGAATCCGCATGTCTCGATTCCAATAAAACCCAAAAAAGTACACGAAAATATAAATTGAGTATACCTCATTATAGGACTTTCAAATCATAATATAACTCATGATTCAGAGCAATAATTCTCAAGTCTATTTTTATATGCAACCCGAGGTATCTCCAATTATCTACTGAGTTGGTAAAAAAAAAAAAAAAAAAAAAAAAAGAATTAAAGAAAAAAAAAACCCAAACTTTAGAATATTTGGGTTTTGTTTTGTTTTTTTTTTTTTTTTTTAAGTAACATGCAAGGAACATGTTAAAAAGGAACCACCCACCTGTTTCCTTAAAAAGTTTAATATTTTTGCAGGCTGAGAAACAATGTGGTCTTCAGTCGTCAAAATTGGAACATCCCCTATAAATCAAAAAGTTTACATACAAGGAAATGTTTCTATTTCCTCCGAAGAGATTCTGATCCCCTAGAAAACTGTATCAGTTGCACACTTGGAGGGGGGAAGAATGAGCAAGCTCATCCTAGTTTTTTTTTGCAATTTCACAGAGCAGCTCTGGAGAACACTGGCATTTCTCCTAATTCCCATTGATCGGGCCTGTAAAGTATTACCCCGAATGGGCGAACCATAAGCAACACACAGCCAGGGCCGTGGTAAGAAGAAATGAAAAGCCCAAGGTACTGCACTGCACGGCCACGTGCCTCCTGGCTCCAAGGGCGGGGGCGGGGGGTCATTTAACAGAGCCCAAGGTGTATGAAATGTTCACACTGTACCTCTCGAACCTCTCCAGGTGTTATCTACGACACTGACTTTCAAGGGTGCGCCAGAAAATTTGGCGTAAGCCTGAAACAAAGTTTGCAATAGAACATTTAGACTGAGCGCGCGGTGCCAACGTGCAGAGTCCACGGCCGAGAGGCCGGACCCGCGGGCTGGGGCCCTCCACAGGTCCTGCCGAGGACGCGCGCCCGCCACGCAGCCTTCGGGCACCTGGCCCCCCAGAGGTCTGGGGGTGGGGGTGCAGAGCGCGCGCGCACCGCCCCGAGAGCTGTGCATGGCCGAGGAGACTCGGGGCCAAGCGGGGAAGCTCGGGCTCTCCCGCCGGGCGTCGGCGGGCTCACAGGCCAGGCTGGGGCTCCACGGGAAGGAGCCCCCAGAGCGCGGCGAGAGGTGCCCCGGCCGGGCTCGGCCCTGCAGCGCCGCAGGGGACCGCCGCCCGGCCGGCCTCGCGCCTCGGGCCCCGCCCCTCCTTCCTGCGCCCTGGCCCGCCGGGAGGCCTCACCATCACCACCAGGGACTCGCTGTGCACCGATGGGAGCCCCCAGCCACCTCCCCAGCAACTGAGCTCCAAGGGGGCCGCCATCTTGCCGGGGCCGACCTTTGCGCCACCGGAAGCACTTAGCGGCTCAATTTCCGGCACGTTGAACCACGGGGCGGGGCGAGGGCGGGGCGAGCGCGGGGCGAGCACCCTTGCGCCGCGGAGGGGCCGAGGTTAGGGGCCCGCTTGGGACCGGCTGGGCCCAGTGCTTACGAGCCCCGGCCCTTGAGCTGGACCCGCCGGGCAGTCCTCAGGTGTTTTAGTGGATGCCCGACGTGCCCCAGAACCTCCGAGCATCACTGCCTGGGGCTTGATTTGCAAAATCCCGTTTGCAAATTTGCAAAACCCGTTTGCAGAATACCCCAGATCGTCGTGTTTAAAATCATGACAAAGAGGGAGATGAGTTGCCTTACGAGGACCCAGAATTGCCTGAATGTCCTGGGGCCATTGTCTCGAAATTCTTAACTTTCAAACAAGGGGCCTTCCATTTTCATTTTCTTTCTAAATTTTGTTTATTCATGAGACACACAGAAAGAGGCAGAGACACAGGCAGAGGGAGAAGCAGGCTCCATGCAGGGAGCTCGATGTGGGACTTGATCCCAGGACCTAGGGATCACGATCTGAGCCAAAGGCAGATGCTCAAGGCTGAGCCACCAGGTGCCCCCATTTCATTTTCTGCTGGGTTCTGCAGATCATATAGCCAAGCTGAATCTGTGGGCAAGAACGAAATGGGGTTTTTTTGAACATCACACTGACAGTTTCTCAGAGAAACTGTTGAGGAGGAAAAACAGGCCTTCAGAATGCCACGATCCCATTGTGCTTACAGGATGCTGGAACTAGGACTTGGGTGCTGGGTCCTTCCTCTACAAGGTGCAGCAGTCTTTCTGGGACAGACTCCCAGTCATTTCTCTGAGTTCTTTCCTTTCCTTTAAGGGGTAGTTGGACCCCTTAAACAACAGTAGGCGCGAAAGAAACCTCCTCTGCAAATTTTCATAAAATTACAATTCAACAAATACTTGCTAGGCACTCCCTAGGTAAATTATAGCATCCATACGCTAAAGTCTTTTTTTTTTTTCATGTTTCAAAGGCAAGAGTTCTCAGAAATGGGAAGGATAAAGTATATCAAAGGTAGGAATGTGTTAATAATACTTTATAAATGGGAAATTAATATATGTACCATTGAAACCAAATGTTAAGACCTTCATTGAGCAGCTACTGTATCCAAAACACTGTAAGGCTCTGAGAGGACAGAGATAAGTAAGACATGAACTCTATGCTCCGGAGTTTAGAAGTCAGATTATCCTGAATAAAGTTAGAGGTGCAAATAAAATATTATGGAAGCACAAACCAGGAATGATGCATCCTGTCCAGGAGCAGTGGAAGCTCTCTGTTCAGTCTTCAATGTAAAGAAAGTAATTCAACTTTCAGGTAAAAAAAAAATCAGACCTCCCTGTTTTAAGGTTAAAATCCTAAGCCATAGGGGATCCCTGGGTGGCTCAGCGGTTTGGCGCCTGCCTTCAGCCCAGGGCGTGATCCTGGAGACCAGGGATCGAGTCCCATGTCAGGCTCCCTGCATGGGGCCTGCTTCTCCCTCTGCCTGTGTCTATGCCTCTGTGTGTGTGTGTGTGTGTGTGTGTGTGTCTCATGAATAAATAAATAAATAATCTTAAAATAAATAAAATAAAATCCTAAGCTTGGAGTCTGTATATTGCAATCAGGCATTTAAAACAATCATATACAGCTTGGGGCACATGTGTGGCTCAGTCAAGCTTGGGGCACATGTGTGGCTCAGTCAGTAAAGCATCTAACTCTTGGTTTTGGCTCAGGTCATGATCTCAGGGCCATGAGATCAAGTCCCATATCGAGAGCCCCCACATGGGGCTCTGCACTCAGTGCAGAGTCTGCTTGTCCCTCTCCCTGCCCCGCCCCACGTGCTCTCTCGTGCATATGCAAATAAATAAAATATTTAAAATAATCATACACAGAGAATATGGACTACCTGAGTCTTATTTGCAGGGTGGGGAGGGGTAGGTAACGGATGAACATTTTTTTGTGGACACGTAATGTAGTTAGTTCAGCCTTCTCCCTTATTGCTGCTGTTACATATGACAATTTCATTTGCATTAAAGAGAAATTAAATCTCTCCTCTTAACATTTCTGAATTGAGACAGAAAATAGCATGCCATTGCATCTGATAAGAGAATCCTTACACACAGGTTTATTTGTGTCTATTTAATAGCAATCTTTTATTTTTGCAATTCCTCCTGAGAGTCTGTATTTGCTAGATTGAATTTTAAAACCCCAGTGCTGCTGATTGCACAACCAGGCTGAATGTTGTTCCAGAGAACCACACAGAAAGTTGAAACCTTCAGGAATTATGCCTGGTATGGGTAGTTGGCCCCTGTGCCTTTTTCTGGCTGCTAAAGTGTGTTGTTCAGAGTTCATCAAAATCATAATTTCAGATTCCTACCAGGAAGCATATTATCTGCAAAACATTCACACATGTGTGGGATGACTTGAATCACAGCTTTTTAATGAGTATTCCAGACAATGTTTTCCCTGAAAAAGAAATTTATTTTTCAAAAGATGGACACTAAAAATGGCCTCATCTAGTGACAGTCATGTGAACTCAGGGGGCCTGACTTTGGCATCAATTTCTATCCCTCATGTATTTCCTAACTTGAAAGCCATGGTGCAAGTTCTAGTAGGATCTTTTTTCTGGGTGATTAAGAATCTGTGAAATGGTGCTGTCAACAAACATAAAAGCCTTATGATGAGTGATCACTTAGTATGATTATTTGTGAGAAAGTTGGATTAAAGATGCTTGAAGGTCCCTTTCAACTCTAAACTTCGGTAATTTAGTTCCACATTCAGATGTAAAATCCTTTCAGAGGAAAAGCAAATACTCAACAGAAATCAGAAGAGTTAGTTTCTGATTTAGCCTCTAATTAACCATTAGACCTTGAGGTAACCATTTTACATTTATTCCTCAACTCATTCACTTATGAAGAAAGAGTTCTTTTACCTCTGAGGTACTGTTATGCTATGTCATATAATAAGCATTTAATAATAGTTAACATTCATGGAGCAATTTCTACATGCCAGAAATTATTTTATGTATCTGACAAAATTCATTTTATCTTCATAATGCTCCATTAGGTACGTACTGTTATGTTCAACTGTTTTCAGAGAGAGAAATTAAGGTACAAAGATGTTAATTAACCTTCCCAAGCTCAACTAGCCAGTAGATGGTAAAAGCAGGATTCAAACCTAGGCCATCTGGGCTCATACTCTTAACCACTATGTCATACTGCTGGTAGCCTTCTAAGCAGTCCATTAAAAATCCTAGTTTTGGGGTGCCTGGGTGGCTCAGCTGGTTAAATGTCTGCCTTCAGCTCAGGTCATGATCCTAGGGTCCCAGGATTGAGCCCTGCATTGGGTCCCTGCCCAGCAGAAAGCTTGCTTCTCCCTCTCTCTGCCACTCCTTGCTTGTGCTCTCTCTCTAGCTCTCTCTGTGTCAAATTTTAAAAATTGAAAATAAATAAGTAAAAATCCTAGTTTTACTCAAAGTGAAGTTATCAATGCCATGATAGCACTATCATTACCTGTTTCAATAATATTTTTTTTTAGTATCAGGCTATTAAATAAGTTCCTTAAGTGACTTCTGTATGCCCAGCACACATTGCTGGGCTATCAGAGAATGAAAACGTTATGTTAATTGTTCATGATTTCAGAGGGATAGTTGACAAGGCCTACATACTTGAGGTAATGAGAAGTAATTAGGAGTACAATTTTGTCAAGTAGACCACAAGCCTAATGTGGTTTTAGACCAAGGACTTTAGTGTATTGCACTGCTTGGCAAAGGCCTAATGGAAGAGGTGGGACTTTAGCTGACTTTGCAGGAAGGATGGGTGCATTGGATTTAGATTGGCACAGGGAAGGGATTCCACATGGGTTATGCTACATTAGTCAAGTCATAGAGATGAGAATGACTATGGCAAAGAATCTTAAATAAATGGATGATGAATTTGATAATAAGCTGGAAACTTATCAGGTAGAGTGTTGATTGACTCACTTGGGAATCAGAATTGGTGATATTGGATGGCATGGAGATATACAGTTTTGAGAAAGTAAAAAAGAAGAGTAAAAGTCTGAATACAATTGTTAACGGATGCAGATAGTCATGGATGGAAGGTGCGTGGCCACCATAGGAGAAAGGGTTTTATGAACCCATCAGTTGTATTAAGTGAAGCAAAATGTTGTGGAAAATGAAGTGAGGAGATGCTGATGAATATTATTAGAAGAAAATCACCTGGCACCCTTGTACTGAGCACATGTGAGAAATCAAATTGCAAGACATTGCTGAAGGCCATGGTATTTGGAAAAAGGACAATTATAAGATCCTCAGGCATATGGCAGATAAAGGAGGGAAAGGAATGGAACAGGAGCAGAAAACTTAAGAGCAATGTTTTGAAGGAGATGACAAAGTGAATCTACATACATATGAAGACAAAATTGGCCACTACTGAGCAAAAGTCTGAAGATGTCAGAGAGAAAAATGTCTAGTATCCTATTCCTAGGGTTCTCAGAATTACCCTAAGGAGTTGAAAGGCTGCGATCAGGAGCATGAGCAGTGGAGTTGGCATTGAAAATGAGAGAGGCTTTCTCTCTGACACCAAAGGAAATTCAAGGAGAGCATGGGACACTGAGTTAGCCTAAACCAGTTACCTTCAAATTTCTCTGTTACATTAAAAAACAAATAGTCTGAGAGAGAGATTGGGGCTTCAAAAAGAAAGAGAAAAATTTAGAGGATGTACTGAGAAGTTAATAATAAATGAATGGAGGGGCACTTGGATGGCTCAGTCGGTTAAGTGACCAACTCTTGGTTTTGGCTCAGGTCATGATCTCAGAGTCTTGAGATAGAGCCCGGCATCAGCCTCTGTACTC